ATGTATTTATCCATTTAACTATTTGCCTATTTATCTATTTAACTAATTTTCTATTTATCTATATCTATATAACTATTTAACGATTTATCAATTTATTTAGATAAGTATTTATCTAGTTAACTATTTATCCATTTATCTATTTATTTATCTATTCTGCCACACACGCCCCGCCCCGCCTCGCCCACGCACACACGCATACACGCCCTCCCACGCACGCACGCACACACGCCCACAGACGCACGCACCCACGCCCGCACACACGCACGCACACACACACACGCCCACACACGCCCGCCAGCCCGCACGCACGCACGCACATGCATGCACGCCCACACGCACCCCCACCCACACACCCATGCTCGGTCGCCCCGCCCGCCCGCACGCACGCTGTGACACTCCAAAATTTTAAATAAAAATAAAATAATTTTATCAGTGAGATAAAATGTTACAAAAAGTGAGATTTTATAAACGGTCTATAAATCAGATACAATTTAGCTGACAAGAATAAATTATCTATTTAGCTGATAAAGACATACATACCGGGTACAATTTAGCTGACAAGAATAAATCTTATATAATTTATTTAGCTGATAAAGATGTGTAAACCAGATATAATAGAGTTCTCGTACAACAATAGCTACCACGCCAGTATCAAGATGGCCCCGTACGAAGCCCTATACGGTCAAAGGTGTAGAAGCCCAATATGCTGGGGTGACATGGTGGATAAAGTGGTGTTAGGGCCGGATTACCTCCAAGACACCATCGAGAAAGTAAAGATGATCCAAGCGAGGATGAAGGCAGCTCAAGACCGTCAGAAATCTTATGCAGACCTGGGAAGGAAGCCAGCCGAATTCGAAGCAGGAGAGAAAGTCCTACTCAGAGTCTCCCCGACCAAGGGAGTAATGAGATTTGGGAAAAAGGGAAAGCTAAGTCCGAGGTTCATAGGCCCTTATGATATCCTCGAACGAGTGGGAAGGGTGGCATACCGGCTAGCTCTACCCACCGGGTTGGCTAAGGTACATCATAACCCGCTCATTAAGTAGTGATTACCTGATTGCAAATCTCTGAAGTGTGAATTTCGTGTAGGTACACAACGTTTTCCATATCTCCCAACTGAAGAAGTATGTCCGCGACGAATCGCATATCCTTAACCCCGAGGTACGAAACGTAACCTTATGATAGTTGAGATCTAAGTATCACGCCTAACCTCGACTCTTTTAGGTGGTCGAGTTAGATGAATCGTTGACCTACGAGGAGAGACCGATCCGGATTCTGGACACCAAGACCCGTGAGACTAGAAGAAAAGCGGTTAAGATGGTGAAAGTCTTGTGGTCTAACCACTTGGCCGAAAACGCCACTTGGGAGACTGAAGACGATATGCGCAAACGCTACCCTGAACTTTTTGACTAAGGTAATATTTCGGTTACGGGGACGTAACCCTCTTTAAGGGGGGTAGAATGTAATACTTAAGAATTCGGTTAATTGGCTTAGCTAATGTTTCGGGACGAAACATCTTTTAAGGGGGATAGAATGTGACACTCCAAAATTTTAAATAAAAATAAAATAATTTTATCAGTGAGATAAAATGTTACAAAAAGTGAGATTTTATAAACGGTCTATAAATCAGATACAATTTAGCTGACAAGAATAAATTATCTATTTAGCTGATAAAGACATACATACCGGGTACAATTTAGCTGACAAGAATAAATCTTATATAATTTATTTAGCTGATAAAGATGTGTAAACCAGATATAATTTAACGGATAAGAATAAATTTATTTGACAAAAAGGAAAAAAAAAAAAAAAAAAAAAAAATTAAAATTTTTTTTAACGTGCGATGAAGAAAAACGGCCGCAACTCAACGGCCAGAAAATTTAAGAGGTGTTCTTGATGTGAATTAAAAGCCAGAAACGTTTAGAGCATGTAGAGGGGCGAATTTTGGCCTATAAATAGCTACATTTGGTGTTGTAAAACCGGAGATATACATATATAAACATATACAGCGTTTTTTTTGAACCATCGCTACAACCCCTTATTCGAAGCCAAAACCACTCACAAACCTTCCCCTTAGCGAGAGGAATCCAACGGTGAAAGAATCGTTGGAAACGGTCGAGAAACGAGGGAGATATTGCTCGCCGGAGTTTCGCCGGGGAAACTTTCCCGACGAAAAACAGAGAAGCAGAAGCCGCCATCACCGCCGCCAACCCTTCACCGACCTGCGCCGTCCCTGGAGGAGTGCACCGCTACCGCCGTTGGCCGTTTCGTCGAGGTAAGCCCGACCTGCGTTTTTTTCCCGTTCTCCCCTGTTTTTTTTTTCCGGCGACCTGCGTTTTGCGTTGAAGAAGACGACCAACCTGGGGTCTGTCTTTTGGGCCGCCAGTTGCTGGGCTTTTTTTTTGGGCCAGTTCGGCCCAGTTGCAATAAAAATTAGAAATAAAATAGTAAATGAAATAAATAAAATCTGGAAAAATATAAATTAAATACCTAGTATGATTATACATATTCGGACCAACCAGAATTGAAAAATAATATTTTTAGCTATTTTTAATTGATTTAATTGTAATTGGGCCAATTTGTACACATTTAAGGAATAATTAACTAAATGGCGAAAATAATTATGAAATAAATATGGGAGTGAACCTGGATAAATATATGACTAACTAAGACATTATGGACCATTTATAATTAATAAAAATTAATATTAGTATATTTAAATGTAAATGGACCGGTTATTGGATATACGAAAATAAACGAAAAATTAAGGAAAATAATTATAAAATAAATATCTGGACAACCTAGGTCAAATATAGACCCAAAATATAATTATGGACGGTTATTAATTTATAAAGTCGATTTTGAAGTCTATATAATTTAATTGGGCCATATAAAACTAGTTAAGTAATTAAATGAGGAATTCTTAATATTAATGAGGAAATTGGCTTGATTAATTAATAGTAATCACTTGACTAAACTTGCTAATTGTTAATTAACATAACTACATGATGTTATATAATAAAAAGAAATTGATGGTTTACAAAAGCCTAATAAACGAAAATCATATCAAAGTAGTAATTATTTGGACTTAGTAACACGAGTAGATTAATTAAAGTTGGATAAATATTATTTTCACTAATTATTGGACTAATTGAGGAGAGTAATGTAAAATTTACATAATTACGGACTTAGAAATACTAAGTGTTTGAATAATTAATAAAATCAGAATATGTTATAAACAATTAGTTAATTCGGATTTATTAATGTTGATTTATAAAAATTAATGTAGTTTCGTTATTTGATTAGTTTGTTGAGTTATTAAAAATGTGGATTGATATTAATAGTGAAATTGGAATAGTTTAATTATTCGAAACACGAATATGTTTTAATAAAACATAGTTGATTGGACGTTTTATAAGTAAGAAAATTAAATGATGATTATTAAACTAAAAATCTGATATTGTAGTTAATTATATTCGTATTTTTTTTTTAGAATTCAAATATTATAATTAACGGCTGAATTAATTAGGTAATTTAAGTAATAAAAATTGATTAACTCGAATAATAACATAAGTAAATTAATGAATTCGAAGAATAAAATAAAAGGGTGAAAATCGGGTAAATAATTATTAAAGAATAAGTGACTAATTATATATCTTAATTAAAAAGGTGAATAGTTAGAGAACGAAGTTGAAGAAGGGAATTAGGAGCATCCGGACTAGAGGTAAGTTTCTCTGCCAATCCAAAATTGTTTCCTCGTATTATATATGTATTATGTGATACGTGATTTTAAGTGTGAATTATGATTTTTATGCATGTGATTTTGAGATTATTTGAGTTGTGATATTTGAGAAGTGAAACTAAGTGCTTCTGGGAATTACATATTTTATTTAAATATTTTTGAGGCAATTTGAGAAGTTGAGGAATATTTTTTGATGTATGTTAATTCAAGATAAAAGAATGATTTCATAAGAAGTGAGCGCCACGGGAGAAATCCGCGGTGTCGGTTTTCCACGTCCGGATAAATGTGGAGGGTGATTAGGTCTGCTACTACGAAGAAGTATAGTTTGAGTTTAAAGTGATATTTGGATCGATGATCCTTTTTAAGAAGAAGTTATGGTAGTAGTAGTCCCTAATCATTCAAGATATTTTTCAGGGGTAGTTGGTAGACTGAGTCCCGACTACTCGTTACGACTTACTACTCGGAGGGCTTGGAATCCCTTTTAGGGGGTGTGCACACTTAAGGTAGTCGTTTCGTTTCCAATAGAGCAGTTGTGGTACCGGCATTTGTTCGGGGTGGCCGTCCATAACCACGGTCCACCGGGCTCTCCGAAAGGTTGAGCACCGCCCTTCTAAATTACTAGGAAGTTAGAGAAGAAGTGATTTTTGAGGAAATCAAAGAGAAGAGTTATTATGAAATTTTAAAGAAAAGTTGAGAATTTTAGTAAAGAAGTGGCTTTAAGAAAAATCAAGTGAAAAGAATTTCGATGGCGTGAGTATTTTTATATATTATATATAAAAATCTATTTTAGTCAAACATGATTATTTTACGGGGTTGGGTAGTACTTACTTAGCTCTAAAGCTAACTTTTGTTTTCTTTTCCTTGTTTTGTTTCTGCACTTTATTCGTGCAGGTGAGGATGTTCTTGTTGATTGATGATTGCTTGCGTGGCCTGAGAGCGAATTAGAAGTTGCCTTAGTCATACTAGTCATGAAATGAATATTTACTTTACAAACACTTTATTTTTATTGAGTTAAAGTTGTTATACTTTAGTTGCCTGTGCATCCGGTTGAGAGATGACCGGATGTGGCGGTGACACCCGTTTCCCTTATTAAGACTTCCGCTATACTCTTCAAATTTTCAATAAATAAAAGTTTTATTTCAATTAAATCAATGTTTCGGGTGGGAAATTGGGGGTGTTACAAATTGGTATCAGAGCCAGGTTTTCCGAAGGGATTAGGACACGAGGTAATAGGTCGTAGGGAGAAGTTCTGGCACCAAGACGATAACAGTCTAAACTAGTTGGTTTTTAATTGAGCCTTTGCGCTCGTCCAACTTACTGGGAATTTCTCCTTGTGCTGAAACATCGTTGTTCGAAATCTTTGACGAAAACTATAGTTTCGATGCGGGATTTTTCAAAATGTTTTCTTAAAATTAGGAGAATGAATATACTAGGAAAAAGGGCCTTTTAGGAACGCGGTGAGAGGGAGAAACCTTGCGAGATTATTGAGTTATGAAATGCATGAGATTCATGCTTCTGTGAAGTATGTGGAATATGTGATACACTATGTGTACTATTTGTTCAAAGAATATGAAGTTAGTAGAGAATTTATATAGAAACTTTATGTATGCTTTAATACTTAGTACGGGCTTTTCTTTATTAAGAAACATGCCACCAAGAAGAAACCCCCATGCAACCCCAACTGTTGAGGAGTTAGCTCAAACTATTCAGCAGATGGCGCAACACATTGGAGCAGCTCAGAACCAGAACCCGGGGGTCGACTATGCAACACGTGTAGCCGGAAGGAACCCTCCAAAATACCTGGGAGAGGAGGATCATCTGATTCTAGAAGACTGGATCCGAACCTTCGACAAGCTCTTCGACTCACTCAACTGCCCATTGGAGCAGCGGGTGAACATTGCGGTGTACTACTTGCACCAAGAAGCGGATCATTGGTGGGCCGCCACTGGAGCAACCCTGCTCGAGCAACCGGGGTTTTGTTGGGAAGATTTCAAGGTAGCCCTACGTGACCGTTTCTATCCGGATCATGTGAAGGAGGCAAACTATGATGAGTTTGTCAACTTCAAGCAAGGAGATTTAACTGTCCAGGAGTACCATACAAAGTTCGTCCAACTGGCCCGCTTTGCCAAGGATCTGGTATCCACTGAGGCCAGCATGACCCGCAGATTTGTTAATGGGCTGAACTTTGGTGCCCAAAAGTTCGTGACCGTGGCAGAGCCGCGGAACATGAATGAGGCGTACCGGAAGGCTGGGAAGTACTACATGGTACATCAGAAGGAGAGAGAGGCGCAAAAGAGAGACCGGAAGGTTGCCGAGGTAGAACAGCAGCAAAAGAAGGCCCGAACTGACCGCCCGGAGCCAAGACAAAACAACCAAAGCAGTAGAACCTTCCAAGGCCAGGGTCAGGGAAGGAATCAACCCGCTCAGGCACGGTACTACAAATGCAAACTGTGCCCAAACAACCATCCCGGGAAGGACTGTGCGGGAAATGCAGTGAGATGTTACAACTGTAATCTCATGGGACATCGGGCATATGAGTGCCGGAAACCTCCAAGCCAGGGTCAAAACCAGGGGAACAACCAAACTGGGGGCGGGAATAATCACGCTAACACCAACCGTGGTAATCCCGGTAATCGCCCAGCGGAGGCTAACCGAAACCAAGGCCCGGGAGGGCAAAACAACACCCAAGGCCGCATCTACGTTATGAACCAGGCTCAAGCAAATGCACACGATGTGGTGTCAGGTACCTTTCTTGTACACTCCAAACCTGCTTATGTGCTATTTGATTCAGGTGCATCCCACAGCTTCATAGCATCAAAATTTGTGGAAAAGACAAAGCTAGAACCGACCACCAAACTTAATCTTAATGTAAGAACCGCCTCCAACCAAATTGTAGCATGTGGAAGTGTTTTCTCTAATGTTCCCATAGTCATATCCGATACCGAACTACCCGGAGATCTAATCCAATTCGATTTGGAGGATATCGACGTGGTGTTGGGTATGGACTGGCTAGGGAAATATAAAGCCAAAATCCTGTGTGACGAGCAAAAAGTGGTCTTGAAGGGACCCAACAAGAAACGTGTATCCTACAAAGCAGTCACATCTAAACCGGGAGTGAAGCTAGCAACCATGCAGCAAGTCAAACGATATGTCCGGAAGGGGTATGAAGTTTACTTGTGCATGATCAAAGACGTGACCTCCGAAGATCCGACCATTGATCAAATTCCTGTGGTCAATGAGTTTCCGGATGTATTTCCAGAAGAGATTCCAGGGATGCCACCGGAGAGAGAAGTCGAGTTTTCAATCGACCTTCTGCCGGGCACCGCACCCATCTCGAAGGCACCATACCGAATGGCACCGAAGGAAATGCAAGAACTGAAGGAACAACTTGAAGAGTTATTAGAGAAGGGCTACATCAAACCGAGTATCTCACCTTGGGGTGCTCCGGTCTTGTTTGTGAAGAAGAAGGATGGGAGTCTGAGACTCTGCATCGACTATAGAGAACTGAACAAGGCAACCATCAAGAACAAATACATGCTGCCTCGCATTGATGACCTCTTTGATCAACTGAGGGGAGCTAGCACGTTTTCCAAAGTTGATTTGAGATCCGGGTACCATCAAGTGAGGATTGCTGAGAAAGATATCCCGAAGACGGCCTTTCGAACGAGGTACGGGCACTATGAGTTCACCGTAATGCCGTTTGGCCTCACAAATGCGCCTGCAGTATTTATGGACCTCATGAACCGTGTGTTCCGACCCTACCTCGATTTGTTCATTGTGGTGTTCATTGACGACATCCTGGTGTACTCCAAGACGCCAACCGAGCATGAAGGACATCTGAGAACAGCGCTGCAAACTTTGAGAGAGAATCAGCTCTATGCCAAACTCTCAAAGTGTGATTTCTGGAGGGATCGGGTAGCATTCTTGGGCCACATCATCACCCGAGAAGGTATATCCGTTGACCCGTCAAAGATCGAAGCAGTAACTGAATGGCCTACACCCAAAACCGTGACGGAGGTCCGGAGCTTTCTAGGTTTGGCGGGCTATTATCGTAGATTCGTGAAGGATTTCTCAAAGATAGCAAAGCCTTTGACTAATCTCACGAAGAAGACTACGAAGTTCATATGGAGTGATGAGTGCAAAGAAGCTTTCCAAGAACTGAAGCAGAGGTTAACAACCGCGCCTATCTTGACCCTACCGTCCGGTACTGAGGGGTTCGAGATTTACACTGATGCTTGTCTGAAGGGGTTGGGGTGTGTATTGATGCAAAATGGCAGAGTGGTGGCCTACGCATCAAGACAACTAAAGACCCATGAGGTCAACTACCCGACTCATGACCTGGAACTGGCAGCGGTTGTCTTTGCTTTGAAGCTATGGAGACACTATCTCTATGGGGCACAATGTAAAGTCTACACTGATCACAAGAGCCTGAAGTACATTTTCACCCAAAAGGAGCTTAACATGAGACAAAGACGCTGGCTAGAACTCGTCAAGGACTATGACTTGGAGATCCAATACCATGAAGGCAAAGCAAACGTAGTTGCCGATGCGTTGAGCCGCAAGTCAACTCACTCCTGCAGAGCAACATGGATACTACCTGATGAGCTATACCGGGACTTTCAGAAGCTGGACTTGGAAGTTCGGGATTGCGGAGAAGTGGAGCGGGAAGCACGGTTACTCACCATGACCGTTACCCCCTCTATCTTCGACGAAATTCGCGAAGGGCAGCCTGGAGACATAAAGCTAGACCGAATCCGAGCAGGCATGACAAATGGCGTGAACGGTCCGTTCAAACTGCACGAAGACGGGAGCATTCGACACAAAGGAAGGTGGTGTGTCCCGATGAAATGTGAAGAACTTAAAAGGAAAATTCTGGAGGAGGGGCACAACACGCCTTACTCGGTGCACCCGGGAGGCGATAAACTCTACAAAGACATCAAAAAGAATTTTTGGTGGCCAAAGATGAAGAAAGAAGTAGCTGAGTTCGTGGCTCGATGCTTAAACTGTCAAAAGGTGAAAGCTGAACGTTGCAAGCCCAAGGGACTCGTGCAATCCTTGGAAGTGCCAAAGTGGAAGTGGGATTCCATCTCCATGGACTTTGTTGGGGGCTTACCCTTAACAAAGTCTGGCAAAGACAAGGTTTGGGTTATAGTTGATCGGTTAACAAAGACCGCTCGCTTTATCCCGATGAACGAAACTTGGAGCATGGGGAAATTAGCCCGAGCTTACATCAAACACGTGGTTAAGTACCATGGAGTTCCACAAGACATCGTTTCTGATCGTGATTCTAGATTTCTATCTCAATTCTGGAGGGAATTGCAAGCCGCTATGGGGACGAAGCTGAAGCTGAGTACTGCCTTCCACCCAACCACCGATGGGCAAACGGAGCGGACCATTCAAACACTCGAGGACATGCTGAGAGCATGTATGCTAGACCTACAAGGGTCATGGGATGAACACTTAGACTTAATAGAGTTCTCGTACAACAATAGCTACCACGCCAGTATCAAGATGGCCCCGTACGAAGCCCTATACGGTCAAAGGTGTAGAAGCCCAATATGCTGGGGTGACATGGTGGATAAAGTGGTGTTAGGGCCGGATTACCTCCAAGACACCATCGAGAAAGTAAAGATGATCCAAGCGAGGATGAAGGCAGCTCAAGACCGTCAGAAATCTTATGCAGACCTGGGAAGGAAGCCAGCCGAATTCGAAGCAGGAGAGAAAGTCCTACTCAGAGTCTCCCCGACCAAGGGAGTAATGAGATTTGGGAAAAAGGGAAAGCTAAGTCCGAGGTTCATAGGCCCTTATGATATCCTCGAACGAGTGGGAAGGGTGGCATACCGGCTAGCTCTACCCACCGGGTTGGCTAAGGTACATCATAACCCGCTCATTAAGTAGTGATTACCTGATTGCAAATCTCTGAAGTGTGAATTTCGTGTAGGTACACAACGTTTTCCATATCTCCCAACTGAAGAAGTATGTCCGCGACGAATCGCATATCCTTAACCCCGAGGTACGAAACGTAACCTTATGATAGTTGAGATCTAAGTATCACGCCTAACCTCGACTCTTTTAGGTGGTCGAGTTAGATGAATCGTTGACCTACGAGGAGAGACCGATCCGGATTCTGGACACCAAGACCCGTGAGACTAGAAGAAAAGCGGTTAAGATGGTGAAAGTCTTGTGGTCTAACCACTTGGCCGAAAACGCCACTTGGGAGACTGAAGACGATATGCGCAAACGCTACCCTGAACTTTTTGACTAAGGTAATATTTCGGTTACGGGGACGTAACCCTCTTTAAGGGGGGTAGAATGTAATACTTAAGAATTCGGTTAATTGGCTTAGCTAATGTTTCGGGACGAAACATCTTTTAAGGGGGATAGAATGTGACACTCCAAAATTTTAAATAAAAATAAAATAATTTTATCAGTGAGATAAAATGTTACAAAAAGTGAGATTTTATAAACGGTCTATAAATCAGATACAATTTAGCTGACAAGAATAAATTATCTATTTAGCTGATAAAGACATACATACCGGGTACAATTTAGCTGACAAGAATAAATCTTATATAATTTATTTAGCTGATAAAGATGTGTAAACCAGATATAATTTAACGGATAAGAATAAATTTATTTGACAAAAAGGAAAAAAAAAAAAAAAAAAAAAAAAAAAAAATTAAAATTTTTTTTAACGTGCGATGAAGAAAAACGGCCGCAACTCAACGGCCAGAAAATTTAAGAGGTGTTCTTGATGTGAATTAAAAGCCAGAAACGTTTAGAGCATGTAGAGGGGCGAATTTTGGCCTATAAATAGCTACATTTGGTGTTGTAAAACCGGAGATATACATATATAAACATATACAGCGTTTTTTTTGAACCATCGCTACAACCCCTTATTCGAAGCCAAAACCACTCACAAACCTTCCCCTTAGCGAGAGGAATCCAACGGTGAAAGAATCGTTGGAAACGGTCGAGAAACGAGGGAGATATTGCTCGCCGGAGTTTCGCCGGGGAAACTTTCCCGACGAAAAACAGAGAAGCAGAAGCCGCCATCACCGCCGCCAACCCTTCACCGACCTGCGCCGTCCCTGGAGGAGTGCACCGCTACCGCCGTTGGCCGTTTCGTCGAGGTAAGCCCGACCTGCGTTTTTTTCCCGTTCTCCCCTGTTTTTTTTTTCCGGCGACCTGCGTTTTGCGTTGAAGAAGACGACCAACCTGGGGTCTGTCTTTTGGGCCGCCAGTTGCTGGGCTTTTTTTTTGGGCCAGTTCGGCCCAGTTGCAATAAAAATTAGAAATAAAATAGTAAATGAAATAAATAAAATCTGGAAAAATATAAATTAAATACCTAGTATGATTATACATATTCGGACCAACCAGAATTGAAAAATAATATTTTTAGCTATTTTTAATTGATTTAATTGTAATTGGGCCAATTTGTACACATTTAAGGAATAATTAACTAAATGGCGAAAATAATTATGAAATAAATATGGGAGTGAACCTGGATAAATATATGACTAACTAAGACATTATGGACCATTTATAATTAATAAAAATTAATATTAGTATATTTAAATGTAAATGGACCGGTTATTGGATATACGAAAATAAACGAAAAATTAAGGAAAATAATTATAAAATAAATATCTGGACAACCTAGGTCAAATATAGACCCAAAATATAATTATGGACGGTTATTAATTTATAAAGTCGATTTTGAAGTCTATATAATTTAATTGGGCCATATAAAACTAGTTAAGTAATTAAATGAGGAATTCTTAATATTAATGAGGAAATTGGCTTGATTAATTAATAGTAATCACTTGACTAAACTTGCTAATTGTTAATTAACATAACTACATGATGTTATATAATAAAAAGAAATTGATGGTTTACAAAAGCCTAATAAACGAAAATCATATCAAAGTAGTAATTATTTGGACTTAGTAACACGAGTAGATTAATTAAAGTTGGATAAATATTATTTTCACTAATTATTGGACTAATTGAGGAGAGTAATGTAAAATTTACATAATTACGGACTTAGAAATACTAAGTGTTTGAATAATTAATAAAATCAGAATATGTTATAAACAATTAGTTAATTCGGATTTATTAATGTTGATTTATAAAAATTAATGTAGTTTCGTTATTTGATTAGTTTGTTGAGTTATTAAAAATGTGGATTGATATTAATAGTGAAATTGGAATAGTTTAATTATTCGAAACACGAATATGTTTTAATAAAACATAGTTGATTGGACGTTTTATAAGTAAGAAAATTAAATGATGATTATTAAACTAAAAATCTGATATTGTAGTTAATTATATTCGTATTTTTTTTTTTTTAGAATTCAAATATTATAATTAACGGCTGAATTAATTAGGTAATTTAAGTAATAAAAATTGATTAACTCGAATAATAACATAAGTAAATTAATGAATTCGAAGAATAAAATAAAAGGGTGAAAATCGGGTAAATAATTATTAAAGAATAAGTGACTAATTATATATCTTAATTAAAAAGGTGAATAGTTAGAGAACGAAGTTGAAGAAGGGAATTAGGAGCATCCGGACTAGAGGTAAGTTTCTCTGCCAATCCAAAATTGTTTCCTCGTATTATATATGTATTATGTGATACGTGATTTTAAGTGTGAATTATGATTTTTATGCATGTGATTTTGAGATTATTTGAGTTGTGATATTTGAGAAGTGAAACTAAGTGCTTCTGGGAATTACATATTTTATTTAAATATTTTTGAGGCAATTTGAGAAGTTGAGGAATATTTTTTGATGTATGTTAATTCAAGATAAAAGAATGATTTCATAAGAAGTGAGCGCCACGGGAGAAATCCGCGGTGTCGGTTTTCCACGTCCGGATAAATGTGGAGGGTGATTAGGTCTGCTACTACGAAGAAGTATAGTTTGAGTTTAAAGTGATATTTGGATCGATGATCCTTTTTAAGAAGAAGTTATGGTAGTAGTAGTCCCTAATCATTCAAGATATTTTTCAGGGGTAGTTGGTAGACTGAGTCCCGACTACTCGTTACGACTTACTACTCGGAGGGCTTGGAATCCCTTTTAGGGGGTGTGCACACTTAAGGTAGTCGTTTCGTTTCCAATAGAGCAGTTGTGGTACCGGCATTTGTTCGGGGTGGCCGTCCATAACCACGGTCCACCGGGCTCTCCGAAAGGTTGAGCACCGCCCTTCTAAATTACTAGGAAGTTAGAGAAGAAGTGATTTTTGAGGAAATCAAAGAGAAGAGTTATTATGAAATTTTAAAGAAAAGTTGAGAATTTTAGTAAAGAAGTGGCTTTAAGAAAAATCAAGTGAAAAGAATTTCGATGGCGTGAGTATTTTTATATATTATATATAAAAATCTATTTTAGTCAAACATGATTATTTTACGGGGTTGGGTAGTACTTACTTAGCTCTAAAGCTAACTTTTGTTTTCTTTTCCTTGTTTTGTTTCTGCACTTTATTCGTGCAGGTGAGGATGTTCTTGTTGATTGATGATTGCTTGCGTGGCCTGAGAGCGAATTAGAAGTTGCCTTAGTCATACTAGTCATGAAATGAATATTTACTTTACAAACACTTTATTTTTATTGAGTTAAAGTTGTTATACTTTAGTTGCCTGTGCATCCGGTTGAGAGATGACCGGATGTGGCGGTGACACCCGTTTCCCTTATTAAGACTTCCGCTATACTCTTCAAATTTTCAATAAATAAAAGTTTTATTTCAATTAAATCAATGTTTCGGGTGGGAAATTGGGGGTGTTACAAATTGGTATCAGAGCCAGGTTTTCCGAAGGGATTAGGACACGAGGTAATAGGTCGTAGGGAGAAGTTCTGGCACCAAGACGATAACAGTCTAAACTAGTTGGTTTTTAATTGAGCCTTTGCGCTCGTCCAACTTACTGGGAATTTCTCCTTGTGCTGAAACATCGTTGTTCGAAATCTTTGACGAAAACTATAGTTTCGATGCGGGATTTTTCAAAATGTTTTCTTAAAATTAGGAGAATGAATATACTAGGAAAAAGGGCCTTTTAGGAACGCGGTGAGAGGGAGAAACCTTGCGAGATTATTGAGTTATGAAATGCATGAGATTCATGCTTCTGTGAAGTATGTGGAATATGTGATACACTATGTGTACTATTTGTTCAAAGAATATGAAGTTAGTAGAGAATTTATATAGAAACTTTATGTATGCTTTAATACTTAGTACGGGCTTTTCTTTATTAAGAAACATGCCACCAAGAAGAAACCCCCATGCAACCCCAACTGTTGAGGAGTTAGCTCAAACTATTCAGCAGATGGCGCAACACATTGGAGCAGCTCAGAACCAGAACCCGGGGGTCGACTATGCAACACGTGTAGCCGGAAGGAACCCTCCAAAATACCTGGGAGAGGAGGATCATCTGATTCTAGAAGACTGGATCCGAACCTTCGACAAGCTCTTCGACTCACTCAACTGCCCATTGGAGCAGCGGGTGAACATTGCGGTGTACTACTTGCACCAAGAAGCGGATCATTGGTGGGCCGCCACTGGAGCAACCCTGCTCGAGCAACCGGGGTTTTGTTGGGAAGATTTCAAGGTAGCCCTACGTGACCGTTTCTATCCGGATCATGTGAAGGAGGCAAACTATGATGAGTTTGTCAACTTCAAGCAAGGAGATTTAACTGTCCAGGAGTACCATACAAAGTTCGTCCAACTGGCCCGCTTTGCCAAGGATCTGGTATCCACTGAGGCCAGCATGACCCGCAGATTTGTTAATGGGCTGAACTTTGGTGCCCAAAAGTTCGTGACCGTGGCAGAGCCGCGGAACATGAATGAGGCGTACCGGAAGGCTGGGAAGTACTACATGGTACATCAGAAGGAGAGAGAGGCGCAAAAGAGAGACCGGAAGGTTGCCGAGGTAGAACAGCAGCAAAAGAAGGCCCGAACTGACCGCCCGGAGCCAAGACAAAACAACCAAAGCAGTAGAACCTTCCAAGGCCAGGGTCAGGGAAGGAATCAACCCGCTCAGGCACGGTACTACAAATGCAAACTGTGCCCAAACAACCATCCCGGGAAGGACTGTGCGGGAAATGCAGTGAGATGTTACAACTGTAATCTCATGGGACATCGGGCATATGAGTGCCGGAAACCTCCAAGCCAGGGTCAAAACCAGGGGAACAACCAAACTGGGGGCGGGAATAATCACGCTAACACCAACCGTGGTAATCCCGGTAATCGCCCAGCGGAGGCTAACCGAAACCAAGGCCCGGGAGGGCAAAACAACACCCAAGGCCGCATCTACGTTATGAACCAGGCTCAAGCAAATGCACACGATGTGGTGTCAGGTACCTTTCTTGTACACTCCAAACCTGCTTATGTGCTATTTGATTCAGGTGCATCCCACAGCTTCATAGCATCAAAATTTGTGGAAAAGACAAAGCTAGAACCGACCACCAAACTTAATCTTAATGTAAGAACCGCCTCCAACCAAATTGTAGCATGTGGAAGTGTTTTCTCTAATGTTCCCATAGTCATATCCGATACCGAACTACCCGGAGATCTAATCCAATTCGATTTGGAGGATATCGACGTGGTGTTGGGTATGGACTGGCTAGGGAAATATAAAGCCAAAATCCTGTGTGACGAGCAAAAAGTGGTCTTGAAGGGACCCAACAAGAAACGTGTATCCTACAAAGCAGTCACATCTAAACCGGGAGTGAAGCTAGCAACCATGCAGCAAGTCAAACGATATGTCCGGAAGGGGTATGAAGTTTACTTGTGCATGATCAAAGACGTGACCTCCGAAGATCCGACCATTGATCAAATTCCTGTGGTCAATGAGTTTCCGGATGTATTTCCAGAAGAGATTCCAGGGATGCCACCGGAGAGAGAAGTCGAGTTTTCAATCGACCTTCTGCCGGGCACCGCACCCATCTCGAAGGCACCATACCGAATGGCACCGAAGGAAATGCAAGAACTGAAGGAACAACTTGAAGAGTTATTAGAGAAGGGCTACATCAAACCGAGTATCTCACCTTGGGGTGCTCCGGTCTTGTTTGTGAAGAAGAAGGATGGGAGTCTGAGACTCTGCATCGACTATAGAGAACTGAACAAGGCAACCATCAAGAACAAATACATGCTGCCTCGCATTGATGACCTCTTTGATCAACTGAGGGGAGCTAGCACGTTTTCCAAAGTTGATTTGAGATCCGGGTACCATCAAGTGAGGATTGCTGAGAAAGATATCCCGAAGACGGCCTTTCGAACGAGGTACGGGCACTATGAGTTCACCGTAATGCCGTTTGGCCTCACAAATGCGCCTGCAGTATTTATGGACCTCATGAACCGTGTGTTCCGACCCTACCTCGATTTGTTCATTGTGGTGTTCATTGACGACATCCTGGTGTACTCCAAGACGCCAACCGAGCATGAAGGACATCTTAGAACAGCGCTGCAAACTTTGAGAGAGAATCAGCTCTATGCCAAACTCTCAAAGTGTGATTTCTGGAGGGATCGGGTAGCATTCTTGGGCCACATCATCACCCGAGAAGGTATATCCGTTGACCCGTCAAAGATCGAAGCAGTAACTGAATGGCCTACACCCAAAACCGTGACGGAGGTCCGGAGCTTTCTAGGTTTGGCGGGCTATTATCGTAGATTCGTGAAGGATTTCTCAAAGATAGCAAAGCCTTTGACTAATCTCACGAAGAAGACTACGAAGTTCATATGGAGTGATGAGTGCAAAGAAGCTTTCCAAGAACTGAAGCAGAGGTTAACAACCGCGCCTATCTTGACCCTACCGTCCGGTACTGAGGGGTTCGAGATTTACACTGATGCTTGTCTGAAGGGGTTGGGGTGTGTATTGATGCAAAATGGCAGAGTGGTGGCCTACGCATCAAGACAACTAAAGACCCATGAGGTCAACTACCCGACTCATGACCTGGAACTGGCAGCGGTTGTCTTTGCTTTGAAGCTATGGAGACACTATCTCTATGGGGCACAATGTAAAGTCTACACTGATCACAAGAGCCTGAAGTACATTTTCACCCAAAAGGAGCTTAACATGAGACAAAGACGCTGGCTAGAACTCGTCAAGGACTATGACTTGGAGATCCAATACCATGAAGGCAAAGCAAACGTAGTTGCCGATGCGTTGAGCCGCAAGTCAACTCACTCCTGCAGAGCAACATGGATACTACCTGATGAGCTATACCGGGACTTTCAGAAGCTGGACTTGGAAGTTCGGGATTGCGGAGAAGTGGAGCGGGAAGCACGGTTACTCACCATGACCGTTACCCCCTCTATCTTCGACGAAATTCGCGAAGGGCAGCCTGGAGACATAAAGCTAGACCGAATCCGAGCAGGCATGACAAATGGCGTGAACGGTCCGTTCAAACTGCACGAAGACGGGAGCATTCGACACAAAGGAAGGTGGTGTGTCCCGATGAAATGTGAAGAACTTAAAAGGAAAATTCTGGAGGAGGGGCACAACACGCCTTACTCGGTGCACCCGGGAGGCGATAAACTCTACAAAGACATCAAAAAGAATTTTTGGTGGCCAAAGATGAAGAAAGAAGTAGCTGAGTTCGTGGCTCGATGCTTAAACTGTCAAAAGGTGAAAGCTGAACGTTGCAAGCCCAAGGGACTCGTGCAATCCTTGGAAGTGCCAAAGTGGAAGTGGGATTCCATCTCCATGGACTTTGTTGGGGGCTTACCCTTAACAAAGTCTGGCAAAGACAAGGTTTGGGTTATAGTTGATCGGTTAACAAAGACCGCTCGCTTTATCCCGATGAACGAAACTTGGAGCATGGGGAAATTAGCCCGAGCTTACATCAAACACGTGGTTAAGTACCATGGAGTTCCACAAGACATCGTTTCTGATCGTGATTCTAGATTTCTATCTCAATTCTGGAGGGAATTGCAAGCCGCTATGGGGACGAAGCTGAAGCTGAGTACTGCCTTCCACCCAACCACCGATGGGCAAACGGAGCGGACCATTCAAACACTCGAGGACATGCTGAGAGCATGTATGCTAGACCTACAAGGGTCATGGGATGAACACTTAGACTTAATAGAGTTCTCGTACAACAATAGCTACCACGCCAGTATCAAGATGGCCCCGTACGAAGCCCTATACGGTCAAAGGTGTAGAAGCCCAATATGCTGGGGTGACATGGTGGATAAAGTGGTGTTAGGGCCGGATTACCTCCAAGACACCATCGAGAAAGTAAAGATGATCCAAGCGAGGATGAAGGCAGCTCAAGACCGTCAGAAATCTTATGCAGACCTGGGAAGGAAGCCAGCCGAATTCGAAGCAGGAGAGAAAGTCCTACTCAGAGTCTCCCCGACCAAGGGAGTAATGAGATTTGGGAAAAAGGGAAAGCTAAGTCCGAGGTTCATAGGCCCTTATGATATCCTCGAACGAGTGGGAAGGGTGGCATACCGGCTAGCTCTACCCACCGGGTTGGCTAAGGTACATCATAACCCGCTCATTAAGTAGTGATTACCTGATTGCAAATCTCTGAAGTGTGAATTTCGTGTAGGTACACAACGTTTTCCATATCTCCCAACTGAAGAAGTATGTCCGCGACGAATCGCATATCCTTAACCCCGAGGTACGAAACGTAACCTTATGATAGTTGAGATC